CTAAAAAAAAAAAAAATTTTTTTTGAAACAAACAAACGCTCCAAGGGATGCGATGTTAGTGGTGGTTTCTGCATGTGTTGCCTCTCTGAAGTCCTCTCCGAGCCCCGGGGGTCTGCCGAGTGGGACTGACCCTGCTACACTGGCTAGATGTTGTGCTTAAGACCATGTGTTCCTGTCTGGGCTGGGGGGATACCTAGCAGGGATTCAGTGCATCCCCCCTGGCCCTGACCCTGAAGCCCCCACCTCATGGCTACTCCATAGGCCCCTGATCAGAGTCCTGCGTGATGTGTCCTTCCTCCCTGGAGCCATCTCTCCCGGCCAGGCCCACCCTGCCACCAGCTCCAGCTGTGCAGATCCTGACCCCTCTGTCCTAATGCAGGTTGAATGACATGTGGACCATTGGCCTCCAGGACCGGGAGCTCACATGCTGGGAGGAGGTGAGGGGTTTGGGGGGCTGGGGCAGGCAGGGAAGGCAGGGGCTTGGGGGGCCAGGGTGGGGCCGGCAGGGAGGGGAGGGGCAATGGGGGGGCAGAGGTGGGGCAGGGGAGGGGCTGCTTTGTTCTCTTTGCCAAATCCTAGCCTGTCCTCAGCCTCACCCTCCCTGCTGACTTCCTGCCCAATTCCAGCAGCACTCACCTAGTGACTAAATCCTCTGTGCTTCAAATGGCAGCGTGTCCTGGTGACTGGTGCCACTTAGGTAGAATCCACCCTCATTTGAACACAGCAAGTTCAGCATGCTGTCTGGTGTCCTGCTCCCTGCTGTTTCTGGGCAATCTGTCCATCTGCTCCATTCTTTCCCCTGGAGTTTCTTTCCCCCATGGTGATGATTTTTAGCCCCAGTTGTTAAAAACTGGGCCCATTTAGGTGGATGAGGTGGGGCTTTAAGCTGTTCCATAGAACTTAATCTATGAACCCTCATTCACAGAAGTTTCAAGAATGAAAGTAGTCCCAGTTCAGCAGTGTAAGTCTCGACCCTGTGAACCCGGTCCCATGAGGGCTCGGGCTGAGCTGCCTTCCCTACCCCAGGTAGCGCAGAGCGGTGAGATCCCGCCATCCTGCTGCAACTTCCCAGTGGCCGTGTGCCGGGACAAGATGTTTGTGTTCTCAGGGCAGAGTGGAGCCAAGATAACCAACAACCTCTTCCAGTTTGAATTCAAGGACAAGACGTGAGTGTTCTGGTGGTGGCACCCACATCTGTGTCTGGAGCTGTCCTCGTGAGCTTCCGACACAGCAGGGCAAGTTACCCTTCCAAAGCAAGGAGGTGCAGGTGCCTTCATACAGACTGTGCAAGCAGGCTCCTTAGTGTGTGGCTACAGCTCAGCAAGATGGGGCTCAGCTGGCCTCTCTCTCTGTCCAGTGTGAAGGACGGCTCCTGCCCCGCAGACGGCCTGGTCAGTGTCACCAGTAACAAATGTGGCTGGAATAGATCTCATACGATGGAAGAAGCCTGGAGGGGTGCTCAGGCCCTGAGAGCGTCCAGCCTATGCTGTCCTTGACCAGCCCTTGTGATGGGGACTGAGCCCTGGAGGTGGCACAGACTGGTTCTTGGCTCTGGGAGTGAATGGAGGGGAGGGAACAGGGAGCTTCTGCTGTAAGCCAGGGAGGCTCAGGAGGGGACTTGGAGTTGCCCTGGAGCCCAGCACTGTCCATTCAGAAGGAGGAAGGTCAAGGCATCTGAGGCAGAGGGAATCCCGCTGACACCCACCCAGCTCTCCTGTGGCTCTCATGAGGGCAGCCGGGCTTGAGCCAGCCTGCCTCTCCATCCTGGCCTTGGTGCTTACAGCAGTGGGCAGCAAAGAGGGCTCAGCACCAATAGGAACAGACCTGGTGAGGTGAGAGGCCTTGGAAGTAGAGGCCAAGAAGGCTCAGATGTGGGGAGGGGTTGAAGGGCAGATATGCAGGCTCTGGATAGGTGGACAAGTGGCTAATCTGGGAAGGGTGCTCAAGGAGGTACAGGTATTGGAGGAGACGCAGGGCCTGAGGACTGTTCAGGGATGTGGGGGCTGAGGAAGGTGCATTGAGGGAGCAGAGGGCTGTGGGGTGGGGGACCCAGGCCAGAGATGGGGGGCAGAGCTGCAGCTGGGGGCAGAGTGGACAGGGGTAGGAAGAAAACCAGGGGAGGTATGGCCACCAGCACCAGCCCAGGCTGGGTGTTAGGAGATCCCGGGGGCCACTGGCAGCAGAGGAGTCCCACGGGGTGGAGTCAGTGTGGTGCTGCCTTCCTCGGGCTGGCCTGCTCCCAGCCCCCAGACAGCCACCTGCCCAGCGTCATGCCTGTGCCCTTTGCTCCCACACACACAGAGGTGAGAGTGAACACACCCTGGCCTTTAGGCTGTGCATAGGTGGGCAGATCCTGTGGTGTGGGCATCACATAGGGCCCATTCCCCATGGGGCCACAGAGGGCTGCTGGTGTGAGGCACTTAGCACTGGGGTCCTTACAGAGCACCTCTGCCCTACCCCATTCCCAGATGGGCATTCAGGACCCCTGCCACCTGGAGATGGGCTTTGCCCAGGCAGGTCTCCTGCATGCTGGACAACCTCCCCGCAGCAGGGGCACCTGTCAAGCCCAGCATGTGCCAGGTGCAGGGGTCAGCATGGAGCCAGATGGCATGGCCCACCTGGCCAGGATCTGTTTGGGTTCCAAAGAGGATACGTTGGAAGCTGTTGGGGATTCCTGGGAGGGTAGAGAATGTAGGAGCAGCATTGGGAGGTGGGGTCCTGGTGGCTCCCAGGAGCAAGGCCTTGGCTGCGGGGATCATCCCACATGTTGGAGTGGTGGACATATCTCCATTCCCCCAGAGAGTGGAATTGCCTCACCATACAGAGGCTGGCCACCTCTCCTGCCTGCCACTGCTGCCTGGTTTATAGCTGGGAGACAGAAAAGGACTCGGGCAGGACCCCATGGTGGGCTGAGTGGACCTAGGCAGAGCTGGTGCCAGAGCAAAAGGGGATGCCCTGCAGTGCATGCCCTACCTTGACCCGGCTGGTCTCCCCAGGGGCTTCAGGGCACTTCCAGATGGTGCCTGCTGTGGGGAGGCCTCAGAACCCAGGTGGAGGCCGTGGGGGAGCAGGAGCCCCCACTCTGGCACTAGTTTACTGTCATGTGCCCTTAGGTGGACACGCATCCCCACCGAGCACCTACTCCGTGGCTCCCCACCACCCCCGCAGCGGCGCTATGGGCATACCATGGTGGCCTTTGACCGCCACCTCTACGTGTTTGGGGGTGCGGCAGACAACACACTGCCCAATGAGCTGCACTGCTATGATGTGGACTTCCAGACCTGGGAGGTTGTCCAGCCCAGCTCAGACAGTGAGGTGAGTGCTTCCGGGCACAGGTGGCCAGGGTTGCCCAGGCCTGAGGGCTGGGAGGCCTGATTCACCTGCTCCCACCACCCTGCAGCTCCTCACAGCCTCAGAGGGCTCCCAGGGCTCTAGATGGCCAGCAGGAGCAAAGCCCGGATGACTGAGGCCCTCAGCCCTGGACGCCTGCCTTGACCAGACCCTAGGCCCTGGGCCCTTGTTCTCCATCTTGCAGCCTACAGGCTTTTAACATTTCACTTCCCATCATATCTGCATGGTGCTGAGGATGTTCTCCCAGAACGTCCACCCTGACTGCTGCTGGCTCCCCTTCTCAGCCATGCTGCGAGCTCCCTCATCCTGTGGCTCTTTCCCCTCCCAAACCTGTCTCCAGAGCGCTCTCACTCTTGAACAGGGTCAGCAGGAGGCTGGTCTGTGGTGTCTTGCCTGGCCCTTGCTGACTGGTCCCATGCCCGCATGTCTCTCCCCTCCAGGTCGGTGGGGCTGAGGTGCCAGAGCGAGCATCTGCTTCTGAGGAGGCGCCTGCCCTGGCCTCTGAGGAGCGGGGTGGCTTCAAGAAGTCCCGAGATGTGTTTGGCCTGGACTTTGGCACCACCACAGCCAAGCCGCCTGCCCCGCCGGCCTCAGAGGTGAGGGTTGGCGCCCTCGCTCCTCTCCATCACTCCCTGATGCCAGTCCTGTGGTCAGCCTCTCTCACAGATAGGGAGACTGAGGCTTAGAGAAGTACTTGTTAGGGTCACTTATCTCCTCCCCTCCCCACCTCCACCCAGCTGCCAAGCGGAAGGCTCTTCCACGCAGCTGCTGTGATCTCGGACGCCATGTACATCTTCGGGGGCACCGTGGACAATAACATCCGCAGTGGGGAGATGTACAGGTTCCAGGTGGGGCTCATGGACCGACTGCAGGGGAGCCAGCCAGGGTGGATGGGTCCCAGATGATGGAAACTGAGGCCCCGTAGGTAGGGGTGGGACTTGTCCAAGGGGACCAGAGCCAGGGGTCTAGTGGGATGGCAGCCTTCCCGAGGAGTCTGGAAGACAGGGTGGGGAACTCTAGGCCGAGGGCAGTCTGAGGAACCTCTGTGCAGGGTGGGGTGGGTGGGGCAACATTGGGGGCTCACAGTGGAGCCAGTGGAGGCCGGGGAGCAGGCTTGGGCCAGTGGAGGGAGCTGGGCTGAGCTGGGCTGGGCAGTGTGGCTTAGAGGGGGGCAGAGCCTGGGCCAGTGCTGGCTTCCTTGGGCAACACTGGGTCTCCTCCCACAGTTCTCTTGTTACCCCAAGTGCACACTGCATGAGGACTACGGGAGGCTGTGGGAGAGCCGCCAGTTCTGCGACGTGGAGTTTGTGTTGGGCGAGGTGGGTGCCCTCCCTATGCCCAGCCTGTCCCCTGTACTGCAGGGTGGAGGCTGTGCCCTGAGGCACTGCTGGCCTACCCCTTGTGCCTGGAGTCCTAGAGCCCTTACCTGGCTGTCTGGGCCTCCGTCCCAGCCAGGATGAGGGTTCTGTGCTCCCCACCAAGGTGTCATTCTTGCTCCAGAAGGAGGAGTGTGTGCAGGGCCATGTGGCCATTGTCACCGCTCGGAGCCGCTGGCTCCGCAGGAAGATCATGCAGGCACGGGAACGGCTAGCCCAGGTGAGGTGCTGCCCAGTCCCTCCTGCCAGGACAGTGGCATCTGTGGGGTGCCCCTGAGCTCCCCTTCCTCTCCCTATAGAAGCTGGAGGAGGAGGCAGCCCCCGCTTCCAGGGAGGAACCTGGTGCAGCTGTCGGGGGGGCCCGGCCGCCCCTGCTGCACGTGGCCATCCGCGAGGCCGAGGCCCGGCCCTTTGAAGTGCTCATGCAGTTCCTGTACACGGACAAGATCAAGTACCCGCGGAAAGGTGTGCTGGGGGTGGGAACAGGGTGGACAGGCGCACAGCCTGAGGCCTGGCGGCCACCACCACTCATGTCCACTGGTGTGGTTGAGTTGCCTGATGACCCAGACCCACACTCCTCTGAAAGAAGCCCTGGACCCTGTCCTCCCCTCCGCCCTGCCCCGCACCTTCTCCCTCTCTCCATGACTCTGAGGTTCAGGTAGCTCTTGGATGCAGGCCACGTGGAGGATGTGCTGCTCATCATGGATGTCTACAAGTTGGCACTGAGCTTCCAGTTGTGCCGCCTGGAGCAGCTGTGCCGACAGTACATCGAGGCCTCCGTGGACTTGCAGAACGTGCTGGTTGTGTGTGAGAGTGCCACCAGGCTGCAGCTGGGCCAGCTGAAGGTGCGGGCCGGTGTGCATGGCCCACCCCGCCTACCACAGGCCCCCGTCCCCTGCTGCCAACACCAACCCCAGGCTACTGACCCCCGCTGCAAGCTGCTGCCCCTGCCCTGCTGCTGCCAACCTGCACCCCAGGCTGCCAACTCTCGCCACAGGGCCCCTATACCCCGTTGTCAAACCCTACCCCAGGCTGCCGACCCCTGCCACAAGCCCCCTGTTCCCTGCCCCGGCCCAAGTCCTCCTGCCCAGGCTGCTGCCCCATCGGCCAAGGCCTGACCCTGCTTGCCTGCTCCGGCTTGTGTGTCCCAGGAGCATTGCCTGAACTTCGTGGTGAAGGAGTCCCACTTCAATCAGGTGATCATGATGAAGGAGTTTGAACGCCTCTCTTCCCCACTGATCGTGGAGATTGTGCGGCGGAAGCAGCAGCCACCTCCCCGTGCTCCCTCAGAGCAGCCCGTGGACATTGGTAGGGATCCAGTCCCCATCCCTGAGGCAGCAGAACGGGATTGTATTCATCCTGGGTGGAGACCTGGGAGCCATGGAAGTACCTGTCAGGCCCTCAGGGTGGGGTGTGGGTACCGGGGGTGCCCAGAGCGCTCCTGGGGCTCCTGCATGGGCAGACAGGGAGGCAGGTCAGGCTCATTGGAAGGAAGAGCCCCTGACCTATGGGGCATCCTACCACAGCTGTGTGCCTGAGGGTGGAGAATCTCCTGAGCCCGTTTCCAGAGGTGGGCACGGGTCCCACTCTAGTGAGGGTACCTGCCCTGACTGACATCAGGTTTGACAGCTCTGTTGGGAGCAGTGTGCTCAGGGTCAGTGACTAGTTGCAAGCTTCTTTTCTAGGCATGCCCACCCTTTGGGGCCTAGTGAGAGGTAAGCTCAGTCCAAAGACTTCAGACATTCCTGGTAGCTCCCTGTGCCCACCTAGTCCGGGGAGGGACATCACAATCTCCTTCATCCCCTGACTCTCCCTGGGGTCTGTGCTGCATCTGGCCATTGGCCCTGGGTGACACAAGGAGGGACACAGTGCTTGCCAGACCCAGAGGGGGCTCAAGCATAAGGGTAGGGAGGAGGGTTCAGTGGGCTGAGTTGGGGAGATCAGACTCTGGGGGTTGGGCAGGCCTAAGGGCCGTGTTTGGGGCTGAGGGGAGAAGGTAACAGGGCCTGTTAGTGCCTCAAGGGCCAGAGTGAGCCTTCTGGCCTGGGAGACGTTTGTTCAGGGCAGCAGCATGGGCAGATGTCCAGGAAGCAGTGCCTGGGGCCCTGAGGCCCAAATCCGATGGCTGAGTCTGCAGAGGGGCAGGAGGCATCTGCTCGGGGTCCCTCTACACCAACCCCTGCCCTCCCTACCAGGCACATCTCTGATCCAGGACATGAAGGCATACCTGGAGGGGGCAGGTGCAGAGTTCTGTGACATCACTCTGCTGCTGGATGGGCACCCAAGACCGGCCCACAAGGCCATCCTGGCCGCTCGCTCCAGGTGGGTGGGGGTGTGGCTACAGGGCAGGGCAGGGCAGTCCTGGGCACAGCTTCTGTTTGCCGAGAGCCAGGACTCAAACGCCCCTGTCTGCAGCTACTTTGAGGCCATGTTCCGGTCCTTCATGCCCGAGGACGGGCAGGTGAACATCTCCATCGGGGAGATGGTGCCCAGCAGGCAGGCCTTTGAGTCCATGCTGCGCTACATCTACTACGGCGAGGTCAACATGCCGCCCGAGGACTCTCTGCATCCTCCCTGCCATGGGTGCTCCCAGGTCACCTCTGGAGGTCCGAGTCCCCAGCTTAGGCAGCTTTGGAGCCTCGTGGGTGGGTTCTGGCCTAGCGATTTCCTGAGGATTTCCTGGTACCTAATGCTCTCCCAGCAGTTGGTCAGCAGGCACAGAGAGGTTGGCAGCCGGGAGGGATGGGTGGGTTCTTGACTCTCACAACTGCCCAGAGGAAGTGGTCCTGTGTTATAGGTGAGTAGATCACCGTGGAGTGATTCCTGGTCATGTCACTTCATGGGGGCCTGCACATGGGTGCAAGATGCCTTTCAGGGCTCTGTGAAGCCACAGTTAGTTCTGCAAATGTGCATATGGGTATTTTCCTGGGAGAGGATTTGGGGTTTTCTTTGGATCTTGAATAGGGCTTCAGAGTCCGTGTAGAGAGCAAGTCAGTGTCCTGCCTGGATTGGAGCCCTTGTGCTGGTCCCTTGGGGTGGGGGTGGGGGGCGGTTTCCTTGTTCTGAGCACACAGGAGGAGGCAGCCACAGTCTCAGGCTTCCTCTGCCCCTGGTGCACGTGGGGCTCCAGCTGCACCCTCCCAGGGGAGATGCACAGGTGGCGGGAGGACGAGCTCCTTTGGCTGGCAGCTCCTTAACCAGCCCCCAGCTACCTGTTTGCGGCTCCCTACTATTACGGTTTCTACAACAACCGGCTGCAGGCGTACTGCAAGCAGAACCTGGAGATGAACGTGACAGTACAGAATGTACTGCAGGTAGCTCGGCGGGTGCTCATGGGCCTTCCTGAACCTGGGCGGGTGGGGGAGGGATGGGGCAGCACCTCAAGGAACCTGCCGTTCCAGATCCTGGAGGCAGCTGACAAGACGCAAGCACTGGACATGAAGCGGCACTGCCTGCACATCATCGTGCACCAGTTCACCAAGGTCAGGGCCCTCCCAGCCCAGCACTCACTGCCAACCCATCTTTAGGACCCACTTCTGCCCGCATTAGCCTTGGCCAGGTGTGGGGTGGGGGTGCGTGGAATCTGCTCATCTCCTGCAGCAGTGGTCCCTGGGGTTAGCCAGAGTACCCACCCACTGGCCATTTGGAGTCAGCCTGTGCCCTGGCTTGGTTGAGCTCCTTCGAGACTCTGGAGCCCACTCTGGCCCTCATGGGAATCCGGTTCCATCCTGTTTGGGCCTTTTGGTTGCCTCCTGCAGGTGTCCAAGCTGCCCACACTGCGCTCGCTGAGCCAACAGCTGCTTCTTGACATCATAGACTCCCTGGCCTCCCACATCTCTGACAAGCAGTGCGCAGAGCTTGGAGCTGACATATGAGGCCCCATGTGGTGCTGGCCCACTCGAGGAGAATAACCATGCCTGTTCCTGCCCTGCCCACTGCAGACTATGCTGGCCACGCTCAGGCCTCAGGTGGAGTGGTTGGACCTGCCAGCCGAGGGGCAGGGTGCCCAGAGTCTCCGGAGGGAAAGAGGACATGGGGGGCTCTGGATGCCCCATTTCACTGCTAAGGACAAGTCCCACAGGGAGTGATGGTAAAACAGACCCCCTGGGTGGCACCCTCTCAGTTGGAGGTGTGGGTGGGAAGCCAGGGCCCAGCAGTGGGGAGAGCCCATTGTGGAGCTGGTTTGAGGCTGCCCATCCAGCAGGGACTGTGTATGGCTTGTGGGTCTGGCCACTGGATCCTATTGCCCCGAGACCCCTGATGTGGGCTACATAGTACCCCCTCACCTTCACTGGGGTTGCTCTAAGGGCCCCTACTGTCATCCAGAGCTTGTGGGTGGACAATAGTAACAGGCAGATGAAATCTGACTCAGGATGAATTTTGTGAAGGGCCCTGATGCCGAACTGGGCCTTGGCTTCCAGAGGGGCTGCAGGATCCCACTCCACTGTGTACACATCAGGAGTCCCCAGTTGTGCCAGGGAGACGTCGGTGAAAGTGCCCCCCCCCCCCAGGTCCCCATCTGTCCCTAAGTATTTATTCTTTGTCATAGACATGCCATTAAGACCATAGTAGTGCTACCTATTACACCTCATGGGTACAGGCCCCACGGGTGGACTCCAGCCCTCAGCTGTCCCTGAGCTGGGGATGGATCATGTGGCCCAAGTGCTTGACACTGGCCAATCCCATCCGGTCTTCTATCCGTGTCAGCAACTCCCAGCCACATCTAGGGATACCCAGGGATATGGGGTGGGGAGGGGAGAGGGGTTGCAGCAGAAATCCTGAAGTCCCAAGGCCACCTTGCTCCTGCCTAGACTGGGAAGCTAAAGGATTGGGCACCATGTCCTTTCCTGCCCCCCAACAGAAGGCCCTGTGTGAGTCCACCCTAATACAACAGGCACTTCTGCCTCCTCTCTGGGAACAAGAACCCCAGGGACCCTTCTGCCCTGGCTGCCAGGAAGCCACGTTGGGGGGAAACAGTCCCCCTGTCTCCTCCCTCCAGTTGCATCCCCATGCAATGGCACTTGCCACTCCTTGGCCCTTGCTGAAGAGCCCCAGATGGTGCCACGTAGTTGGACAGGGAGCCCTGGTCCCAGGTGGACATCCTTAGGCAAGAGGAGTCCATCCATAAGGCTGCCGGCAAGCTAGGAAATGGCCTGGCACAAGATGAGCCTTGGTGAACAACTGCAAACCCTGCTCTACAGTGGACCCTTGTAACTGGTCGTTTGACTTTTTCTTCCAGACATGATATGAATAAATGAAGTTACACACCAAGGACCCTAGAAAGCCAATTTCACAGCATTGTGTGGCACTTTCCAGGACTAGAGAGAATTCAGCTATGCTCTTGGGGCTACTGTAGCCACAGCCAGCAGGGAGGTCATGTGTGCAGTTAATCACCCTGCACACTGAACCATCTGCCACAATCACAGACTCAGGGAAGCCTACTTTCCAGTCAGCTTGAAGAAAAATGGGGACTCCAGTTGAGGCCAGAATTGCTGTCTTCATGCCTGCCTCCAAGTTTCCCCCACCTCTTCTCAGACCTCCGGGGACTAGAAGTGTCACTTGCTGGGCCCTTACTACTTGCCAATCATAGTAGCACTAGGTCAGAAATTGCCATCTTTGTCCGTTTTTCAGATGAGCCAGGCCCAATGTAAGTGGGTGGCTGGTCTGCAGGCTGGGGTTCAGATGTTGTACCCTACTGACTGCTGGGCAGATTAGGCTAGTGGATAAAAGCCATGCAGGTGTCCTTGTAAAGAGACTGACTCTGGCCTGGGTTTCAGAATTGTTTTCAAAGGGACTAGACTACTTTTGTCTGGGCTGTTTCAGGTACCAAGGAGAGGGTGCCTGGCACTGTTGCTGGCCTCTGCTCACACCATCCTGTCCCTCAAAACCCTGTGGGGACTGGAGTTGCATGAGGTGGGGTGGGCAAAAAGCTGGATTTTCTGCTCTTCACCTCTGAGAGCTTGGATAATTGGGGAGGGGCCCCAGCCCCTAGCTGAGCCACATAGCAGGGCCTCCTAGAATCCACTTTATTATGGCATCTGGCAGGTCTGGTGGACACAGCTCAGATGGGGTCCTTCTCCAGGTGGATTCTAAGGGGGGGAAGAGGCTGAAGCCCTAAGAGGCAACCTCTCAAGTCAGCTCCGGGCCCAGCAGCCCCTCACTCAAGCCATGCTGTTGCTCAGCTGCATGGCAAAGTCCTGCACATGCTCCTTCAGAGTCTGGCGGGCATCTGCCTGTGCCCGCTTCTCCCGTGCCCGCTCTTGCTGCAGCTTGCTCAGCCGCAGCCGCAGCCGCTGCTCTCGCCGCTTGCAAGCCTGCAGCTGGCGCTGGGCCTTGTCCAGGGCATCGAGTGCGGCCTCAGCCCGCCGTTTCCAGAGCAGGGCACTGCCCACCTGGTAGCTGTGCTCATTCTGGATATAGGCTCCGGCTGGGGGTGGGAGACGAAGCATGTAGGCTGAGGGGGAGACAGGCCGTGGCTCAAGGGGGGATGGCTGCCGCTCTGGCTCCCGCTCCGGCGAGGGCTGGGCACTGCAGCCTGCTTCATCTGCCTGGGCACCCAGGGGCCCCAAGAGGTCTGAGAAGGGGCTGCTGAGGCCAGCCTCCAGCCTCCCAGTGGGAGAGGCAGGCAAAGCAGCAGGTGCTGAGGCCTCTTCCACAGGAAAGCAGGCGACATCAGCAGGTGGTGGTGGAGAAAATGGAGTCGTGGGCCCACGGCCCTCAGAGCAGCTGAGAGAAAAGAGAGAGAGAGAGACACTAATAGGCCAGGCCAAGGCCTTGCCAGACTCTACTTCACCGGCCCACCCTAGTCTACTCTACTGGTTTAGAACCCTGTCCAGCAAGCTGGCACACATCCTAAAGCCCAGTCTCTCAGATTTGGGGTGGGAATGGGGCACCCTCCACCCACAGCACATACCGCTTCCTGCATCGCCGGAGCCGGCTGACGTCGGGGGGGCCAGGTGGGTAACTGTGCCCCTTGGTCTTGGTTGTCCGGCGTAACTTGGAGAAGGACTCAAATATCGTGGGAACTGCCCCCTCCTTCAGCCTGTGATACCCGCTGTGGGGAAAAACAGCCTGGATAAGGTGGACAATAAGCATTGCCCCCCAGGGCCAGCTGCAGGGCACAGAGCTAGCATGCCCCCAGCACCCCAGATCAGGCTCTCCCATGCTAGCACAGTGGGAGGTGGGTAGGCATGTTGCCAGCACTTCGTTTAGGGAATGCCACTTTAGGTAAAATTACACCAATCTCTTTCCTGCAGGGCTCTTCAAAATTAGACGTGTAAAAAAAGACTGTACTAGAACTAGGCTGACCAGCCAAAACGAATAATTTCATTGTGGGAGCGCCTGGGTGGCTCAGTTGGTTAAGCATCTGCCTTCAGCTCATATCATGATCTCACAGTCCGAGAGCTCGGGCCCCGCACCAGGGCTCTGTGTTGACAGAGCCTGGAGCCTGCTTCGGATTCTTTGTCTCCCTCTCTCTCTGCCCCTCCCCTGCTCACGCTCTGTCTCTCTCTCTCTTTCTCTCAAAAATAAACATTAAAAAAAAAAAAATTTTTTTTTAAAGAATAATTTCATTGTGGATTTGCTGGGAGGACTGGGGTTCTAAAGAATAGCCTTTGAAAAAGCTAATGTTTTCCTCTCCTGTCTCTAGCACAGTTACCCTGAGGGGGTGGGTCTTACTGTCACCGAGGTGCAAAGCTGGGAAAAAGCAGCCACACCGCGTAACCAGGTCGGCCTGGGCTCCAGCCAGTGGCTTCAGGATCGTCCTCATCTGGCCGTACAGCTGCCCCAATCGGCCGACTACTCTGATGCTTCAAACCCTGCCCCAGTGACCACTGCCACAGAGGCTCACCTGATTCCCACCAGCTCAAAGCAGTTCTCCTCGAAGTGCTTGGAGCAGAAGTAGATGTACTCGGAAGCCGGGTCCCACAGGCCCTGGCCGCTGGGGTCCAGCCGCTGGCAGTTGGCCAGCCACAAGCCTCGCCTCGGGTTGTCCTTCTTGGGAAGTCTGCGGAGCCACAAACCAGTAAGCACCAGGGTGTCTGCAGCCCTGGGCTGAAGCTGCTCAAGCACTCCAGACGGCAAGGACTGGTCATGCACACGCCACCACCAGACCTCCCTTCAACCCTGCCAGGTAAACACCTCCCACCAAGGTCCAGATGAGGAAACTGAGGCCTCGAGGAAAGCAACTTCCTTAGCGTCACCTGGCAGGTGAGAGTCAGAAAGCGGAGGGACGCAGGCTGGTGGACCTCCCATGCTTCTTCTCCCACCTAGGCTCAGTCGCACCCGCCCCGCCCCTCTCCCCCCTACAAATACAAGCATCGCGCCAACCAGAGGAAAGCGCATGCGCAATCGTGGCTCCACGAAGAGGGTAAAACCGGCGCAGGCACACGTGAGCCTTCGCGTGCCAGCACGCAGGCGCGCTGACCTGTGGAAAGAGATGCCGCGGTTGCGCGTCTCGCGCGTGTCCCTTGTGCAGCAGCCGGCGGCGGAGCAGTGACGCGGCATCTGGGGAAGAGGCGGGAGCTTGCTCGTGGGCGGCTCTCCAGGCCCGGAAGGGCCTCGCGCCCCCAGCCGCCGTTCCGCTCCTGGCGGCCGTGGCCTGCCGGGTCTCCCCCGGCCCGATCTCGCCCGAGCCCCGTCCCAGCCCGTTCTCCTGACTCCCGTCAGCGGCACTCACGATCTCGCCATTGCTGCGCCGCCGAAGTCTCGCGAGAGGTGGAGAGCGGTGGAAGTTGATACCATAGAGACTCGGAAGAGCGAGGCACTCGACCCAGGGGCGGGGCGAGGCGGGCACCGGAAGTGGCGGGAGCGTAATGTTGCTGCCAGGTCTGCGTCGTCCCACCCTCCCTGAGCGCCTGCGCGGTAGTACACTCGG